GGCTCGGGGGCGCCGTCGGGCCCCCCCCGGCAGCTGAGGATCCGGTCCATCTCGTCGTAGTACTTGCATATCTTGCGGGCGTGCCCGTTCTTCTTCAGCCCGTCCCGGGCCTGGTAGTACTGCCGCTTGAGGCCCTTGATGCGGATGCGGCACTGCTCGGGGGTGCGCTCGAAGCCCAGCTCGGCCAGGCGGCACGCCACGTCCCGGTACACATGGCTGTTCCGAAAGTTGCCGTCCAGCGCCGACTGCACGTCCGCCTCGCCCCAGATCTCCAGCAGCGCCCGCGTCTCCAGATCCGACCACAGGAAGCCCCGCGTGTTCGTAATCATCCTTGGCCGGCCGGGGTCACTGCAATGGCCGCGCACCGGGGAGAGGGAAGGAGGGAGGGAGGGAGAGAGGGAGGGACGGAGGGGGCGGAGGAGGGCGGCGGGGAGGAGGGAGGGGGTTTAATGCCCGCACGCGGCTCTCCCAGGGGGCGCCTACGCCAGCCCCGGCAGCCGCGGTGCGGTGGGAAGCGGCGGAGAGCCGGGTAGCGGGACCCGCATCCCGGGCCGCCGCCGCTCGCAGCCCGCACGCACGCAAACAAAACTTTCCAGGCGCCGCTTTGCGCTGCGGCCACCTGCAACAAGAGGGGTAATGAGGTGGCAAAAAAAAAAAAAAAAGAAAAAGGAAAAAAGCCTCTTCCCCTTGACTCGCCCTCTCCGAAAACGATGATGGTAAATAAAAAATAAACAAGCAGGCACCCGGCGCGGAGCCGCGGTCCTCTCCTCCCCCGCTCTCAGGCAGACATTCGTGCGCTGCCGCTCCCCCGCCCCGGGCTCCGCTGGGAGCGACAGAAAGACGGTGCTGGCTGGACCTGGAGGCTCTGCTCATCACAGTGCGCCTGCCTCCCTCCCTTCCTTCTCCTCCCTCCCTCCCCGCCGCAGAGGAGCGCGATCCCTACACACACACACACCCCCACACACAAGGCGCTGCAGCTCCGCTCGGCGCCTACCTCACCCCCGCGCACCGCCGTGCCGGGCCGCGCCGCGCCAGCGCGGGCAGCGACATCGCTGCGCCCTGGCCGCCGTCCCTGCAGGCCGCCACGACAGCCGCGCCGCAGCCGGCGCCGCCCGCAGGCCCGCGGGGACCCGGCAGCCGCTGCCCCTGGCAGACCCTGCGGCGGTGCTGGGGGTCGGGTCTGCGAGCGCTTCCCCCGCCCCCGGCCGTCCCTCCGCGGAGCAGGTGAGCGGCCCGGCCGGCCCCCGCGGCCGGCGGGGGTGGGCTGCATCCTGCCGGGCCCCGCTGCCGCCCCTTCGCTTTGGTTTTGCTCTCCGGCAGCAGCGTCACGAAGCCGCCACCGCCTCCCTCCCGCCTCGGCCCAGCCCCCAGCGGGGCTGCTCGGCCCGGCGACCTTTCCTTCCGTGGGGAGCGCGCACCGGCCCGACCGCCCGCGGGCTCCGGCAGCACCCGGCGCCCACCCGGCCCCGCCTCCCGCCCGGGCCGGCGCTCGGAGGTTTGTACCTTGGTCACGCCGCAGCCAGAGGGCCAGGGCCGCGGCCAGGGCGGCCAGGGCGATGACAGCGCCCCGTCCCCACATCCTGGCGGGTACAAGCAGGGCCGCTCCGCTCTTACCTCGGCACAGCGCGGGGCTCCGCACACCCGCTGCCCAGCGCGCACAACTCATCGGCGCGGCTTCCGCCTAGTGCTAAACCCCTCCCGGCACCGCTCCGCGCCTCCCCGCGGGCTGCCCGCGCCCCGCGCAGCCACGGGCGGGCGGGGCCGCCGCCGAACGTGGTGTGTTAGAGCCCGGGAGGGGAGAGCCTGGAGAGCCGGCCCAGCGCTTTAGGGCTGTCTTCCCGGCCCTTTAATTAGCAGCTGTTATAAACTCCCAGGAATTTACCATTTATTGTTTCACGCTCTTCTCATCCCTCACCTCGCCAGGTGTTTCTGAGAAAACTCCTCATTTGCAAGTGTGATTTGCTTCTGAGGTACTGTTTCTTGCTCAAATACATAATTTTGCCCTATACACAGCACTTGCCCTATACTGCACTGGTGAGGCCACATCTCAAGTATTGTGTCCAGTTCGGGGCTCCTCAGTCCACAAAGCACACCTGAGGTGCTGGAGCAAGTCCAGAGAAAGGAAACAAAGCTGGTCTAGAGCACTAGTCCTGTGAGGAGTGGGTGAGGAAGCTGGCATTGTTTAACCCGGAGAAAAGGAGGCTCAGGAGAGACCTTATCACTTTATAACCATCTGAAAGGAGGCTCTAGTCACATGGGGGTCAGCCTCTTCTCCCCGGTAACCAGTGTCAGGACAAGAGGATGCAGTCTTACACTGGGCCAGGGGCTTGTACAGGTTATACATTAGGAGGAATTTCATCACAGAAAGGGTGATTAGACCTTGGAATGGCTGCGCAGGGAGGTGGTGGAATCGCCGTCCCTGGAGGTGGTTAAGGAAAGACTGGATATGGCACTTAGTGCTGTAGTGTAGTTGACATGTGCGATCCTGTGATTTTATAGCAGCATTCCATTATTATTTTCTTTAAAACACAACAGAGCTGGTGAAACTACCATCTGATGTTCACCTCAGCTCCTACGGCACCTGCTTAATCTACACAATGAATCAAAATGCACTATCACCCAGGAGAAATTTAAGATTATATGCATGAGAAATCTGCAACATTTTTTTAAAGCTCTAAACAGCTGTAATTTCTGCTCTAGACTCCTGGGTATTTCAAGAAAGAGTGTTGTTATTAACCCATAAAAGCTTGTAGCCTAACTGGCAGTAAAATGTCAGTGTTTCAATTAATATTTTGAAGGGGTGAAGACAGACAACATTTTCCTTTACTGCCCTGTGTTGTATATAAACTGTGGTCAAACAGACCTGCTGGTGTTACCTGGACCAAACCCAAGCACAAGGTTTTTATGTCTTTCAGCTTCAGAAGCATTGCTTAAAACAGCCATGCTGTCTGCAAAGTATGAGACAGACAACCTGAACTTTTAGTGACCCAGGTTGATCAGTAACCCAAATTCCGGAGCAGGACCTTGGATACCTGATGACTTCACTGTCAAGTATTAACTTGTTTGTTGGAAAGTTGCTCTTCTATAGGTCCTGATATCTGGTATGATTTTAAAGCCAATACCAAGTCAGTGAAATTTTCCTTTCATTCAGTCAGCACAAGTAATGCTTTTTACCCTCTGATTATCTGAGTGGCAGTTCAAAAGATAGATTAAACAGACAATCACATTTAGTTTGCACATGAATTTTAACCCAGAAAAAAAAAGTTGAACACCATATTTCATACACACATGTTTTGATTCCAGCTGGAAGGATAATGAATGTGTAGATTCCCATAACTCCAGCACTGATTTAATGTCTGGAAGAGAGGGGGAAAAGAATAATGCAGATGTTTTTTTCATCCCATCAGGTGTCCCTACCAAAAGCATGTCTTGTGCCCAGCAAAGGAGAGGAAGAAAGATATAGTTGTAATGGGTTTTTTTTCTGAGTTCTCTGGTTTCCTTTGTAGCAGAGGTGGAAGGGAATTCTTCTGATGCTGCAGGCATCATAAGTTGTTTGTGGAGGACCGAATTCTCAGTCTGTGTGTAGAAGGGTGTCTGTGGGCTTCCCCAGTGCCACAGTTCTTCAGCTTGTTATGCACAGCTTTGTTGTGCACAACAGCTTTGTGTAACCCCCGGAGTGTAAAACCTTTGAGCAAAACATGGTGCCACTCCTCCGACATTCTCCTGCCCTGTATCTAACTCAAGGTACCTTCTTCTGGTGTAGTACACCTTGTACAGTACGAATCCATAACTTCTGGTGCCATCTCTGAGTGCAGCAACAGCAATGCTACTTAACCAGCAGATAGGGCAGGGAAAAAGGGTCTTTAACAGAACTGCAGAAGGTAGGAGTGTATGAGGGAAAAGTTCACACTCCCACCAAAGAGCTGCAAGAGGCACTTACTTCTTCGGGTATATACTGTGCTTGTCCATTTTTTTTTATTGAGCTTTCTTTTCTGACAGTCTTGTCACTTTCTCTGCTTGTCCCTCTTACCTGAAAGGGGGAATGACTGCAGAGTTCTATTTCCTTCTTTGTTAATATCATTCTGGCTTCATTGCCTATTGCTGGCCCCTACCTCTGCCCCAGACTCTTGTCCCTCCTTCCCTAACTCTTGATCTCAACCTTGAGTTCCAGCATTTTAACCCTTCCCTAGCTGCACTGTCAAGGCACCATATCCTCCTCATTAGTGCATTAACTCTGTACCTCCCCTGCTACACAGAAAAAGAGGCATCAGTAGCCAGCCTGAGAATGTCCTACTGCTGTCAAAATAGACAAGAGCTTGGAGGTTTGACTTTGTAGTAGATGGCAGCAGTCACTGACAGCTGGTGCTTGCTGGGAACAAACAGTATGGGGAGGGATGGACTGTAAGCTGGATGTCCCTAGCTGGAGACCCCAGAATAGTGACCATTCAGGACCATCTTTTTATTAGGTTCCTGATAAATCCGTGTTGGCTCTTTGCTTTTGATGACTTTGCATCCACTCAGCACTTGAGTCCTTTCCACCCATTTGGTAACTGTTGTGCAACCCTGCCTTCCAAAGCTATTCCAAGGTGAATGTGGACAGCAGGTATCAATAGCAGAGTTTGCAACATCCTTTGACTGCATTTTCTCCGCTCAAATAATTGATTTGAGTACAGCCTGTACTGGAATCGCCATTTAATATCATAAATATTACAAACATATGCCTGTCAACATGTGCATATTAATAATTGCAATAGGAGGTTTAAGCATATGTGTGGAGAAAGGTAACAGAAGAACTCAGAAGTAATAAGTAGCTCTAATTGAAACTGCCCTTAAAATAGCGCCAAGGATTTCTTTGTTGTTGAAATGGGCATCTGGAAACACCTTTCATTGTGAAAAAGATAAAGAAAGTCCTAATTTCATTTGAATGGTTACCTAGCTAAATTCCAGCTGTTAGAATTGATAGTGTAATAGAGAAGGCAAAAAATGTATAGGTATTGTGATGAGAAGAGAGACAATCCTGCAGGTGTTATTAGTAGTGCTATTTACTGTTTTTAAATTGAGTGGAATGAACATGTTTTACACTGCTAAGATGTTTATCTGAATAGTAGACAAAATGTGGCTATATGGTATAAATTTTAGTTTACAAGTTTGATGTCTCTCTAGGCCACAAAGAAACTAGGAACACCTGAAGCTATAGTAATTATTCCTGTCACTTCACTTTGTGTATTTTTATATTCAAGAGAAAGGATAGCAGCAAGCAATTGACAACAAGCTGTTACAAGAACACATCAACATGGCTCTGGTTTCGCTATGAAGTTTACTAAACAGCAATGTTGTATGGGCTGAAGAAGGAAAATAAAATTGTATATGGAAAGAAACATACCTACGCCTGATTAAACACTATGTTAAAAGTTTGCCCCTACAGCTTCTGTGATTCTTCATATTCTTACCAGGGCAGTACAGATATCACTTCTAGACATACTCAGTCTAATAGTATTTGTGAAGCCCTGTGCTTCACTAGGTAATTTTTGTTTTACCCAAAGTGAACACTCTTTCTGCTGAGTGTTAATGGTGAAAAAAATAAACATGAGGGAAACAATAAAGAGCCTGTTTCTGGTTTGTGTTTTCCTTAGAGCAGGCAATAAGCATGATCTATGTAGTGCAGTAGAAGTGAAGAAGGTTTTTGGGCTCACCCAAATCCTTCAAACAAGTTGCTGATATCTAGTGCAAACAATTATGTAAAACCTCTTAAGCAACAGCCCAAAATGTTAAAATAAATGGCGTCTTTTCCAGTAGGGAATAATAAGACTCTCAGAAAGTTGATACTGGGCAATTATACAGTTTTTTAAAAAAATGCTTTATCTTGTTCTTTGGTGGCAGAATGTAACATCTGCCAAATCCAATAATTTACACAATTTAGAAGACTGCTATTATTATGAAATATACAATTTATATGAGTTTTTTACTGTTCAGTAAAACAGTAAAATAATGTCATTTAGACATTATTTTAGTTGTGTTGTAGCTGAGCCTGAAGGCTTTGCCTGTGCATCATCTTA